AAAGCCACCTGCAGGAAATGGTTACCACGCTGAAGGAAGTAGCGGAAAACCTGAAGCAACCCGGCACGAAAGCTGACACGGCAACGCAGCTGAAAGGCACTTGGACGCGGCATTAGCCACGATGATCACCATTATGAATGAATGGCAGTCACTGGCGCAGTTGCCGCAGCCGCAAGGAACGGTGGCGAGACGACAGACCGACGCCGAGGAAGAGGACAGCTTGGAAGAAGAGCTGACTGCAGAGATCCAACCGGAACGCGAACTGGAGAAAATGTTGGCGGGGTTGATAACGAACTCGTAGAAGAAGGCCTCCAATTGGGAGGCGACGCGCCAAAAGAAGAGCAGAACAAAAACGAATTGCGTGAAGAGGATCCACTTGCAAGAAGAGCTCCCAAACGACGACAATGCAATGGATCAAGAAGAGGGCGAAATAACCGAGCAAGACCTTAAAAGGATCACAAAGAAGGATGAGGAAGCGAAAGGTTGAGAATCCCGACGTCGTGACCGCGAGGACGAGCGGCGTCACCAGCAAGTCACAGAAAGAACTGGAGCAGGTGATGGAAACAGAACGCAACTTCAAACAGCTGATCCAGGACCTAGCAGACAGAAAAGTGTGCCCACCGAGACGATTCACTCATGGATTTATCCCGCGCCAAAGGAGAAGAGTATCCAGCGCCAAAGGAGAAGAGTATCCAATGTGTGTTCTGTAAACGCGTAGGACACCACTACTCAGATTCTTGCCGGATAGTTTTGGACTGCCGCCACGCGCCGCGACCTGCTAAGAGTGGAACACCGATGCGAGATGTGTTTACACACCAGCTGCACGGAAGACATGTATTGCTCCAAGTACGCCATGAAATGTTACCATTGTCGCGGATTTGGGCATCACTGGGCCATTTGCGAGCTGCCGGAGCGCAGCGAGAATATTGCGGATCAGCTACGCAGAGCACGATCGGAGCTAGAGAGAAATCGCGAAAGGAGGACCCCATCGAAAGGGAGCTCCACGCTCGACGTCACTAAGCCTACCAATCAAGCGCGCGAGATGAGTCAAGAGCGCAAGGAACATATCCCTCATATCATAACCTCTCTTAA